CCATTGATCTATTTCTAATTAACCAAGATTAACTATATATTTACAGAGCTAATGCCTCCAGATTTCCAAGGCACCTTGGACGGGGCTGATTTATACTGAAACCAACTAGTTATTCTGAAGCCATTGATCTATTTCTAATTAACCAAGATTAACTATATATTTACAGAGCTAATGCCTCCAGATTTCCAAGGCACCTTGGACGGGGCTGATTTATACTGAAACCAACTAGTTATTCTGAAGCCATTGATCTATTTCTAATTAACCAAGATTAACTATATATTTACAGAGCTAATGCCTCCAGATTTCCAAGGCACCTTGGACGGGGCTGATTTATACTGAAACCAACTAGTTATTCTGAAGCCATTGATCTATTTCTAATTAACCAAGATTAACTATATATTTACAGAGCTAATGCCTCCAGATTTCCAAGGCACCTTGGACGGGGCTGATTTATACTGAAACCAACTAGTTATTCTGAAGCCATTGATCTATTTCTAATTAACCAAGATTAACTATATATTTACAGAGCTAATGCCTCCAGATTTCCAAGGCACCTTGGACGGGGCTGATTTATACTGAAACCAACTAGTTATTCTGAAGCCATTGATCTATTTCTAATTAACCAAGATTAACTATATATTTACAGAGCTAATGCCTCCAGATTTCCAAGGCACCTTGGACGGGGCTGATTTATACTGAAACCAACTAGTTATTCTGAAGCCATTGATCAATTTCTAATTAACCAAGATTAACTATATATTTACAGAGCTAATGCCTCCAGATTTCCAAGGCACCTTGGACGGGGCTGATTTATACTGAAACCAACTAGTTATTCTGAAGCCATTGATCAATTTCTAATTAACCAAGATTAACTATATATTTACAGAGCTAATGCCTCCAAATTTCCAAGGCACCTTGGACGGGGCTGATTTATACTGAAACCAACTAGTTATTCTGAAGCCATTGATCAATTTCTAATTAACCAAGATTACTTATATATTTATAGAGCTAATGCCTCCAGATTTCCAAGGCACCTTGGACGGGGCTGATTTATACTGAAACCAACTAGTTATTCTGAAGCCATTGATCAATTTCTAATTAACCAAGATTAACTATATATTTACAGAGCTAATGCCTCCAGATTTCCAAGGCACCTTGGACGGGGCTGATTTATACTGAAACCAACTAGTTATTCTGAAGCCATTGATCAATTTCTAATTAACCAAGATTAACTATATATTTACAGAGCTAATGCCTCCAGATTTCCAAGGCACCTTGGACGGGGCTGATTTATACTGAAACCAACTAGTTATTCTGAAGCCATTGATCAATTTCTAATTAACCAAGATTAACTATATATTTACAGAGCTAATGCCTCCAGATTTCCAAGGCACCTTGGACGGGGCTGATTTATACTGAAACCAACTAGTTATTCTGAAGCCATTGATCAATTTCTAATTAACCAAGATTAACTATATATTTACAGAGCTAATGCCTCCAAATTTCCAAGGCACCTTGGACGGGGCTGATTTATACTGAAACCAACTAGTTATTCTGAAGCCATTGATCAATTTCTAATTAACCAAGATTAACTATATATTTACAGAGCTAATGCCTCCAGATTTCCAAGGCACCTTGGACGGGGCTGATTTATACTGAAACCAACTAGTTATTCTGAAGCCATTGATCAATTTCTAATTAACCAAGATTAACTATATATTTACAGAGCTAATGCCTCCAGATTTCCAAGGCACCTTGGACGGGGCTGATTTATACTGAAACCAACTAGTTATTCTGAAGCCATTGATCAATTTCTAATTAACCAAGATTACTTATATATTTATAGAGCTAATGCCTCCAGATTTCCAAGGCACCTTGGACGGGGCTGATTTATACTGAAACCAACTAGTTATTCTGAAGCCATTGATCAATTTCTAATTAACCAAGATTACTTATATATTTATAGAGCTAATGCCTCCAGATTTCCAAGGCACCTTGGACGGGGCTGATTTATACTGAAACCAACTAGTTATTCTGAAGCCATTGATCAATTTCTAATTAACCAAGATTACTTATATATTTATAGAGCTAATGCCTCCAGATTTCCAAGGCACCTTGGACGGGGCTGATTTATACTGAAACCAACTAGTTATTCTGAAGCCATTGATCAATTTCTAATTAACCAAGATTAACTATATATTTACAGAGCTAATGCCTCCAGATTTCCAAGGCACCTTGGACGGGGCTGATTTATACTGAAACCAACTAGTTATTCTGAAGCCATTGATCAATTTCTAATTAACCAAGATTAACTATATATTTACAGAGCTAATGCCTCCAGATTTCCAAGGCACCTTGGACGGGGCTGATTTATACTGAAACCAACTAGTTATTCTGAAGCCATTGATCAATTTCTAATTAACCAAGATTAACTATATATTTACAGAGCTAATGCCTCCAAATTTCCAAGGCACCTTGGACGGGGCTGATTTATACTGAAACCAACTAGTTATTCTGAAGCCATTGATCAATTTCTAATTAACCAAGATTACTTATATATTTATAGAGCTAATGCCTCCAGATTTCCAAGGCACCTTGGACGGGGCTGATTTATACTGAAACCAACTAGTTATTCTGAAGCCATTGATCAATTTCTAATTAACCAAGATTACTTATATATTTATAGAGCTAATGCCTCCAGATTTCCAAGGCACCTTGGACGGGGCTGATTTATACTGAAACCAACTAGTTATTCTGAAGCCATTGATCAATTTCTAATTAACCAAGATTAACTATATATTTACAGAGCTAATGCCTCCAAATTTCCAAGGCACCTTGGACGGGGCTGATTTATACTGAAACCAACTAGTTATTCTGAAGCCATTGATCAATTTCTAATTAACCAAGATTAACTATATATTTACAGAGCTAATGCCTCCAGATTTCCAAGGCACCTTGGACGGGGCTGATTTATACTGAAACCAACTAGTTATTCTGAAGCCATTGATCAATTTCTAATTAACCAAGATTAACTATATATTTACAGAGCTAATGCCTCCAAATTTCCAAGGCACCTTGGACGGGGCTGATTTATACTGAAACCAACTAGTTATTCTGAAGCCATTGATCAATTTCTAATTAACCAAGATTAACTATATATTTACAGAGCTAATGCCTCCAGATTTCCAAGGCACCTTGGACGGGGCTGATTTATACTGAAACCAACTAGTTATTCTGAAGCCATTGATCAATTTCTAATTAACCAAGATTAACTATATATTTACAGAGCTAACGCCTCCAGATTTCCAAGGCACCTTGGACGGGGCTGATTTATACTGAAACCAACTAGTTATTCTGAAGCCATTGATCAATTTCTAATTAACCAAGATTAACTATAAATTTACAGAGCTAATGCCTCCAAATTTCCAAGGCACCTTGGACGGGGCTGATTTATACTGAAACCAACTAGTTATTCTGAAGCCATTGATCAATTTCTAATTAACCAAGATTAACTATAAATTTACAGAGCTAATGCCTCCAAATTTCCAAGGCACCTTGGACGGGGCTGATTTATACTGAAACCAACTAGTTATTCTGAAGCCATTGATCAATTTCTAATTAACCAAGATTAACTATATATTTACAGAGCTAATGCCTCCAGATTTCCAAGGCACCTTGGACGGGGCTGATTTATACTGAAACCAACTAGTTATTCTGAAGCCATTGATCAATTTCTAATTAACCAAGATTAACTATATATTTACAGAGCTAATGCCTCCAAATTTCCAAGGCACCTTGGACGGGGCTGATTTATACTGAAACCAACTAGTTATTCTGAAGCCATCGATCAATTTCTAATTAACCAAGATTAACTATAAATTTACAGAGCTAATGCCTCCAAATTTCCAAGGCACCTTGGACGGGGCTGATTTATACTGAAACCAACTAGTTATTCTGAAGCCATTGATCAATTTCTAATTAACCAAGATTAACTATATATTTACAGAGCTAATGCCTCCAAATTTCCAAGGCACCTTGGACGGGGCTGATTTATACTGAAACCAACTAGTTATTCTGAAGCCATTGATCAATTTCTAATTAACCAAGATTAACTATATATTTACAGAGCTAACGCCTCCAGATTTCCAAGGCACCTTGGACGGGGCTGATTTATACTGAAACCAACTAGTTATTCTGAAGCCATTGATCAATTTCTAATTAACCAAGATTAACTATATATTTACAGAGCTAATGCCTCCAAATTTCCAAGGCACCTTGGACGGGGCTGATTTATACTGAAACCAACTAGTTATTCTGAAGCCATTGATCAATTTCTAATTAACCAAGATTAACTATATATTTACAGAGCTAATGCCTCCAGATTTCCAAGGCACCTTGGACGGGGCTGATTTATACTGAAACCAACTAGTTATTCTGAAGCCATTGATCAATTTCTAATTAACCAAGATTAACTATATATTTACAGAGCTAACGCCTCCAGATTTCCAAGGCACCTTGGACGGGGCTGATTTATACTGAAACCAACTAGTTATTCTGAAGCCATTGATCAATTTCTAATTAACCAAGATTAACTATATATTTACAGAGCTAATGCCTCAAAATTTTTTTAATGTTCTCTTTTTCAGGATAGCCTTTTAAAAAATTGTGGTCAACCTTGGCATGTCACTTAGGGGGTAGGATTATTGTGAATTCAAATCTGAAAATTGGATTGTCTGAAATAGTACTAATATACGTGATAACCCTTTGGGAAAAAATTGGAACCAGAATTACTGGACTACACTCATTACTGATTTTAATGCATTTACCATTATCATGATAAAAAAAATTCTTAACATTTTACACTCGTGATACCAGCTCTTTTGAGTAACTAAATTTTAAATTGATTAGCATAACTCACCGATAAAAATGCCTTCAACGAACTTTAGCTGCACAGTAGAAAATTATGTTTAAACCAAAATAAGGAAAGTGATTTTGATTACCTGCATTGACGAATAGACAGGAACCGGTCTTTGTTCATTTCTAACTCTGTAATACTCTGCCCTACTAGATCCAGAGCCTAGAATATTTGAAGCCAGCATCTTTTTATTACCCCCACTGCCTGCAGCTGTACCACGCGACCTCAAATCACCTCCCGGTGACACACCAGTGCTCATAGATTCAAGTAGCACACTTTTCTGATTGTCAACAGGAGCTCTGAATTGAAGATCGAAGCCAACGTTGATAAGAATCTAACATGACTTTATCTGCAAAAGATCACAGAAAGAGAGTTAGATCTGTTACGCAAACATGCTGGTGAAAGTATCAATCCATAGACCATATATCTGCAAGACAAAGAAGCTTAAAAGCGAATGGTCAGTTTCAGCACTCATTTTGAGTTTAAATATTTTTTCCTTCTTTTGTTTGACTGAAACTCATCTTACCAAGGAAAAAAATTGAATATAACCTGGTAAATTAAGAGCACAATGTTAAAGAAGAATACAGTGGAAAATCTGCGAATAGATTCAATATCCTAAATAGTCAACAGGATATAAAGTTGTCGATTAATCGAACAGACACTTCGTTAGAAATTGAGGAACAAACAATACACCTGAACTCAAATTTACTAATAAGATTATTATCTACTGCTCATACTGCCCGATTGCAAAAAAAAAAACAGGTTTTGAGCAAAAAAAAACAAAAAGCAGACAGAAAATTAACATTTTTTCAATTAGACATACGCCTCACCCATTCACCATTCACTACGTAGTATTTATTTATTTTTCATCGTTTCTTTGCTCCAAAATTATTTGTATTTGTTATTGGCCCGCTGTTTGGGCCAAGTCCAGCATGCTCTTGCAGATTCCACGAAACGTTGCGACTCCTCCATCCGCCGAAGCCACAAGTATATTGAGGTCAAGTTCGTCTTATTTTGAGGACACTTTAAAAAGTGAGCGCTGCGTTGGGACCAAGGCATAGGGGAGTTTATGGAGACATTGCGGCCTATCCTACTGATTTAAATATTAAGGAAGGGACTGTATTTGGTCATATTTGGGCGATAGAGCGCCCAGTCAAGATGTTTTTTTTTTTCAACTTATGGAGAGAACTTTGGGAGGGGAGCTTCGTCTATCATCTCTTGGTGCGAAAAACTATTGTTTCTGGACACACTAGATCGATAAAATTATTAACTCGATACTATTGTGAGGCACGTTTGCTTCCAGGTCAAAATCCTTTTTTTTAAAATCTGAGATATTCGCACGAAGCTAGCGGGGCGGCGAAGGTCAAAATGGTAAAAGTAAGGTGTTTATTGGCAAGTAGGTCTTGTGGGCAAACTGGGAAGCTGTTGTGATTCTTACCATTCGTTTTATTTCACTAATTACTTTAAAGTATCTTAACTGGTTAATCTCATTTGACCTTGCTATCTTCATTCTCTCCGACGGAGAGAATGACCGTTCACTCTTTAATGTTTTAACTTAGAGATTAATTCACTTTTTAAACATATCTTATTTGTAACTAAGTAGAATTTACCGTAACAAAGGAACATTTTATCATGGCGCAGTCAAACAGCAACGAATCAAACGTGAGAGGTATACCTTCATTTTGGCAAAACCACACAGTGGACCCACCAATTCCTTGGGAAGAGTGGAGCGATCTATTCCAGCTAGCAATAATCGCGAAAGAGAGTATCGACATCGAAAATCTTTTGAATCCAACGGAACGATATCACCCACCTCTCCCAACATTGGAAAATCGGCCGGAAAACGAATCCGACGCTCAAAAAACATCACGCATCGAGAGGAATATTCAAGAACAAAAGAGATTCGATGATGAAGAAATGGCCTCAATAAAGTCAGAAACCAAGAAATTCAACGGCATGAGACTGGAAGAGGCGGACAAAAAACTAAGATCCATACTTTATCTAGCCCTCGGAAACGAAGGAAAGAAAATATTCGGCCAAAAGTTCACGAGAGTCAAAGTTCTACAAATTTCTTTCAAAGAATTTTGGGAAAATTTGTCCACAGCTTTTGTGAGAAAAACAAACATAACCTTCGAAAGACACAAACTCCTAAACAGAAAACAGAGGGACAGAGAATCATTAGAACAATTCTGGCGGGCACTGGCAGAAATGGCAAAACGATGTAACATTCCCACAGGAGAAGATGAATGGATTAGAGATATTTTTATTAATAATATGAAGAATTCAGATATCCAACGGAAACTCCTCGCGGAAACCTTACCACCACTAGAAGCCTTAAACGTAGCACTGATTGACAAAAAAGGAATTACAAACCACATCAAGATGACGAGTACTTTTAAATCCAGCGGATATTCTTCCAACAAATCTTTTAATCATTTTATTGTAAAAAGAGAACTCACCCTAAACATCGAAAGAAATAACACATGTATGAAATGCGGCGGAAATTTTACAAAAGGACATCTAGCGGTTTGCCCTGCTAAAGATACAACATGTGAATATGATACGACTTGTAAATATGTAGGACATTTTACTAGACTCTGTAAATCACGCCGTAAAAATGTAAATATTGTGGATAGTCAAATTGTAAATAATACAGATCATCATTATCCTTCGGAACAACCAGATGTACATATTGACCACGCTAATAGAGAATGCTGTGGAGTAATCAACGCATGGTCAGAGTCTGGACAAAGCGATAACGATGATTACTCTGTATTAAACGTTACAACTATATACGACGATCAAGGAAAGGAACTGAAGAAACTACTAAATATCGGCTTAGGAAATGAAAACCAAGTAATTCTCAACATACAGGTGGATTCAGCAAGCCCTGTAAGCTTCCTTAAACAGAATGTGTTACACGAGTTGAAACTACGAGACCCCTACGTGAAAATATATCCAGTGGATAAGGCTACCAAGGAACTCTATTGTGGATTTACGAACAATGCAATAAATATCACTGGAAAAGTAATTGTCCCAATTTTCTCAAATGGATGGTCCCACAAGGAATGTCACTTCTTCCTAACTCAAGGTCATGAAAGAAATATCTTGGGAAATGACAATTTACCAAAAGTCGGAATCGAAGTTTCACAAAAACAATACGCAACATTCACAAACAAGAGAACCTGTAAGTCTATCAATTCAGTTACCTCACTTGACATAGATAATGAAATAGAAATGATTGGAAAAACCTTCAAACAACTATTCCTTCGGATTGGAAAAATAAAAAATCAAACAAAAATAACACACTTTCATGAACCATTAAAGCCAATTCAACTAAAAGGCAGGAGGGTCCCTTTACACTTACTGGATTCAGTAAAAACAGAATTATACAGGCTTAAATCCGAAGGACACATCAAAAAATTAGAAAACTGTGACGAGGAGAGATTTATTAGTCCGATAGTTATTACTTGTAAAAAAGACAAATCGATAAAGCTAGCCCTATATTCAAAATTTATCAACAAACAAATCTACAAGAACAAATATCAGATGCCTAATATACACGAATTAGTTGATAACGTAGCGGCTCAAATTTCAAACAATTCCGTCGGAGAAGTATGGTTTACAAACCTAGACCTAAAGAACGCATATAGTCAACTCGCGCTGGACAATTTTACTAGCAGCCAATGCAATTTTAGTCTAGTCGGCGGAGATATAACAGGCACTTATCAATTTTTAACGGGTTTTTACGGACTCGGCGATATGCCAAACGAGTTTCAGAGAGTCATGGACTCAACTTTGGGAAACATTCCTTTTACAAATTGCTACCTCGACTTGTAAAAGTAATTTGCACTAAGTAGTTAGTCAATGGTATACATCTTAGTACATCGGTCACTCCGCGCAAAGCTGCAACTTGCACTAGTTGCAGCTTATTTATAGAAGTATCAATCACCGCGCGAGACCTAGCTGCACAAGCGTAGTGCCTGATTGGTTCTATTACTGCTCCGTAAAATCTCTTTCAACTGACCCCGTTTGAATCCGACGGCGCCTTCAGGAACGATATCCTACGAACGGCTTTGCTCGCTGACCGCTTGCACTGCTTGAAAAAATTGAGGCAAGGATCGAAAAACAAACCAATAATTTCAGGAAGCTTGTGACCCAAAGCAAGGTTTCACACATCGTGACTTGTTTGGCGAATCGTGTTGGAAAAAAATCAAAATAATGGAAGAAAAGACAGAACCCTGAGAAACGCCTGCATCTCCAATCTTGGATGAAAACAAGGCGCCTGTCTCTCAGCTAATTTGCCAGTTAATTACTTAAACTATCCATCTCATACAGATGCCATAAAAGTTTAAGTTATGTACGATAGCATACCATGTCGAAGGCTTTGAATAAATCTAAGATGGCCAGCATAGTACTTTCAGGTGGATTAATAAAAAAGTTCAGTTGATAATTCCACAGTATTGGAGGGGACAAAAACCGTGCTGATGTTCAGCTTTAGTGAGGCTCTTTGCAAGAGTTGGTGTAAGCGAGTTTTTTTCTGCAAAAAAGCACAAACCTCTCGAAGGCGGTCCTTTATATGATAGTATAAATTGGGCATAGTGTAGGAGTGCGGTTTTTATCAGAAACTTCAAGTTTTTGCAAAACCGCAATGTGTATTGGGTACTCGCAGACATTCGCGTCTTTTCATTTTACTGTGATTCTTCAACTGTTCCATTCTTTTTTAATCCATTTGCCCCGGCCATACCAACTGCAGGCGGATGACATTAGGATCCCTCCGCCTGGGACCGAAGTGGGATTCAAATCAACGACCCTCCTGTTGAATTGCAAAGTTACAACTTCTTTCAACTATCACAAAAATTTATAGTCCGATGACAATCGCGACACTTAACACACATTGCGGCATTTAGATAGTTAGAACTAAATATAAGATCAAGTCAAGAAGCAATCAGTTTTGGGTTACAAAAAGATTTTTGGAAGGTTGCAATTAGCTTTGTTATTGAGATCAACTTTAAAATCAAATAGTTTCAGAAGCATAAATTAAATGCAGCATAAAAACCGCAAGTTTGTTCCAGAAGCATAATAACACACCAGCATAAAAACAGCCCAGAAATGTCATAAAATTAGGAAGTATGGCAGATCAGGTAAAAGACTTAAATGGATTGCGTTTGAAGAGAAGGAAGTATTGCCAAAGTGATTCAATTAGCTGCCGATTCTGAAGCCAAAGTTACAACCGGATATAACTATTCCGAATATACTGCACACGAGAAAAAATCAACCCCAAGATTGTTCATTTTTCAGTGGGAAAAAATGAGCATGCTACAGAACAAAAGATTACTCATGCAATCTACAAAGAAAAACATTT